ACTGCCTCAATTAGTAATTAATACACAATGGGCATTAATACCACAGACATGCCAAGTCTAAGTGACAAGGACAATACAGATTCTGTGGCTCAGCCCCCAACACCTCTAATCCTCTCTTTTTCTTAGAATCCAGCCATACAGCTCATGTGAGCAGCCTTAAGTCATAGTACACGGCCGCATCTAAGTGTCCTGTCACCAAGTCTCAGCCAGAGAAGCAGCCCTTCACACAGAACTAGGCCTGGGCTTCAAGCAGCCCGACCTGAAACTGTGTGAAGCAGACATAGTGTTGCTCAAATTGCAGATCTGTGAAGAAAGGAAATAATCCCACTGTTTTAAGCTACACTACTGAACAATGTTTTAGGTAGCCAGAGTAACTAAAACAAATACTGAACAATAAAAAGAAACTGCTACATACAACAACATAAATGGAATTCACTTCACAATACAATGCTGAATGGAAGAAACCAAACAAAACAGTATCTATTGCATGGCATTATTTCTATGAAAAGCCACAAGATGTAAAGTTAACCTATAGTGATAGAAAATTAAGTCCTAGCTACATACAAAACAGAAAAAGGATACTGATTGGAAACAATTGTAGTAAATATCTAGGGCACCAGAGTACTCTACAGATAGAACTGAGTTAATTATACGAATATACATTACAAAAACTCTTCAGGATATACATTTAAGACTAGTACACATTGTAGCATGTACACTATATAACTTTTTTTAAAAGATGTATCTGAGAAATGACAAGATACTAAGGAATGAGCAATCACAGTTCAAAAGAGATTAAGAATCCAAAACGGAGAGCACAGCACCTTCAGGCTTCTTTATTCCAAGAAACTCTGCCTGATCAGAACAGATCCCTGAGAGCCTACACTGTACTGAGGCAGCCCTAAACACAAATCAGGCAGAGTGTAACAATGTGAGACCTCAAAACACCAAATCCCAAAAGAAAACACCTGGAAGTAAACTAAACCCAAGCATAACCTAGGGAGCAGGAGACAGGAGGATGCCTGAGCATACTGGCCAGCCAACCCAGACTAATCAGCAAGGCCAGGTCAGAGTCACTCTCAAAAACCAAGGTAGGTGGTTCCTAAGGAACAATGCAGAAGGCTGAGGGTCTGGCATGCACATGTGCCCACATTTGAGCATATGCCCACACCTCCTGCACATGTGCTAACACCCACACATCAAGTAACAATAATAAAACAATATATCAAAATTAGGTAAACACCGAGACTAGCAAAATTTATAAGCCCAAATTGAAACCAAACAAAGAAGAAAAATGGAAATGTCATTTTAAAAAAAAAAAATCAAAGCAAATCTAAAAAAGAATTATAAAAATAAACTGCCCTGGTAAGACAAATTTCTAAAACTAATCTCCTCACCTATTCAATGTTTTTCTTTTGTGACTTAGTTTTTAAAATTTTTATTTCACCTTGTCTTATCTTGCTACACCTACTCTAATAAATTAAACTGTTTGAAAACCAAAGTAAAACCAGGGCAAAGAGTATCTAGAGCAAATGGATGTGTAAATACGACATCCATGCCATAACTGAACATGACTCTGCCACTCCTGGTAACACGGCTAACTGTAAACTTGAAATAGCTTTAATTTGATAGTCCACCACAACACTCTAGCGTTGTACTATTATTCACTTGTGGATATAGTGGAAGGAAAATTCGGGGTGGGGGGTGCAACTTCTGCTACACTCCTACCAAGGTCAGGAAGACACAGGTGGAATGTGGACCTCTGTAACAAGATAACTAAGTCATTGCTTTAGAGCCAAAACTACTTAGGCAGACACAAGCTCCAGAGTCCATCTGGATCTTACTACAAGCAAATGAAACAACCCAAATACTTCCTAGACATTTTATCTTGGGGTTGATCGCTCATGAAGGTTTGTGAGAAGTAGGGCATTTTTAAATAAGGTAGTCTAAGCTGATGAAAATTGAATTATGATGAAATTAACAATCATTATGTCTGTGAGGAAATCGAAGGATATTTTGTTTAGCATCTATTCCAAGTTTTACAGCTATAGAAACTAACATGTAGTCCAAGTATTCCAAAAGCAGACACCGAGGTGGACAATCCTTTCCAGGTCTTGTGTGGCCGTGAGGATCAAGCAGACTGACTCACTTTATCTGATTATGAAACAAAAGCAAGCCACTTCAGACGATGAGAGAATGGTTCAGGAGCTTCTCTCCACACCAATGAAGACAGCAGCACACAGCCACAAGCTGACAGGCAGGCATCCCCGTGGAGCCGCCACACCAGTCTCCCTGACTCTATTACCGTGGACACTTTTTTCTCGTCCTCAAAGTATCCTAATTTCACAAAGCAATATTTTTTAAACCTAAGCCATGAGGTAGGAGCCTGTAAATGAGACTAGTCGGTTGAGAGTCGTCTCTGACTAATCCCCACGCCCTCCAGTCCCTGGATGCTGGATGTGCTACAGGGCAGATGCTCTCCAATTGAGATTCTTATGTTGACTCTGAAAACGGCAGAAACCTTTTAGAGGGGAACACACTTCTCTAATATATAATTAGATCACATCTGTAAATAAAAAAGCGCTTTTCACAAATGACACTGAAGGAACAAACTCTAAGTCTGTGGCAATTAGTCTGAATTGCACTAGTTACAAAATGGGAGTGGGTAAAGTAGAATTCAACTCAAAATCCAGAAAATGTCTCATTCTCTCTACCTAAAGTAGCAATTCTCAGTCTTAGTATTCTAAATTCTTTTGCTGACTTCTGAACTTTCTTAACATTCCTCAATTTTTCACCAAAATAATCATCAGCTTTCTTCCCCCATATTTACCGGCTACAAACTGTCACAATAATTTGACGAGGTAGCAAAGATAGGCAGTGCAAACTGCCTGCCTGACACTAGAGCCCCAGACTGGATCTGCTGGTTCCCACACAATGCTTAAAGATCATCAGTCAATTTACACCCAACACTAGCCTGACATTTCTCTTTACTGACTTGTTTAACCAGACCAGCTGTCCTCACTGAGGGTTACCTGCATAAGGAAACACTGGTAAGGGAGGCATAGAGGGCTGGAGAGATGGCTCCATGATTAGGAACACTTGCTGCTCTTCCAGAGGACCCAGGTTTGATTCTCAGCCCCCACGTGATGGCTCACAACCAACCATAACTCCAGTTCCAGGGGATCTGACACCCTCTTCTGAGCCCAGAGGGCAACAGGCACACACGTGAAACACATATATAAATGCAGGCAAAACACTCATACACATAAAATAATAAATCTTAAAAATATGTTAATGGGAAGAAGTGTAATGGATTCTTCTCACCAGAAACAAGCACAGCCCACAGCTGTACAGTAATTTAAAGTAAGAAGCAGCCAGCACCAAGGCTCAGAACCCAAACTCTAGAAGTTTGACAAAGGATGGTTCTTGAATACCTCTGTGCGAACTCACTGCTTCCTTAACTAAGGGCACCTGTTCTTGCAATTAGGGCCGTGTAGTTCCCTTAGAAGTTAATTTACACTGTCATCAGTATAATCTCCTTTTCCATTTTGACTTACAGCTTAACGGCCTGTGGAGAGTTCAAACTAGGATCAATCATCCACCTTAAGGAGTGAACGGGACCATGCTTACAATTTCTCTTATAAAATTACGACAAACTGGAAAGTCTTTTGTTAAAGTGGGGTCTTCGGGAGAAAAGCAATGAGACACTGTTCAGCCTGTGACAGTTTACTGATTACTAAGATAACCTAAAGAAAAGGAAAAATGTTTAAACTCCACCCTAGTCCCCCCTCCAACCCCCAACCCAAAACTTTCCAGAGATTCAAGATGGGAAGAAACTGGTCAGAGGTGAGGTGATCTCAAACGTCCTTTTCAAACTTTTCTAAGCTATGAAATTAACTGTCTCACAAATCTAATGTGAGAGCGAGGGGAAGGGGGAAGGAGGAGGAGGAAGAGGAGGAGGAGAAAGAGAAGAAGAAGAAGAAGAAGAAGAAGAAGAAAAGGAGGAGGAGGAGAAAAAGGAGGCGAAAGAAGAAAAAAAAAAGGAAGCTGATCTACGACTGAATTCTTCCAGCAAGGATACTTAGAACAGTGTCCCTACTATTTCCATTATTATTGCCATTGTTCCTAAAGACCGGGTATTGGCACAATTCACCGAGCCTTTCCAATCCATAAAGCACAAAGCATATTAAAGTTTTCTAAAAACTCCTGAGGTAGGGGAGATGAATGAGGAGAATCTAGCAACGCACGCCTTTATTCGAAAATGTCGTGGTGTCAGCTAACACCTTGTAAACTCACTTTAAAAATAAAAAGTATCTAATGATTAAACAAAGAGTGGCTAGGTAGAACCCAGAGATACCCAATGTTCAACTTATATGAACGCCCCACCAGGCAATCAGACTTCTCTCGTCTGCTGGCATTAAAACACCTGCGAACTGCCGCGCTCCCGGGGTTCCAAACTAGCGTGCAAAACTTTGCTAGGGTGCACAGATTTCCAGGCTTTCCAGAACCCTCCCTCGCGCCCATCCTCCTGGAGGCTGTTCCCAACAAAGTTCTTGCGGCAACCAGACAGTCGTTTCAGAGAACGAAGTTTGCCTGGGTCCTGCCCACTCGCGCTCCCGCTGGACGCAACTGAAACTAGTGAGGGAGACACATCTCCCCGGAGACCGAAACTTGCACGGAGGGGGGGGGGGGGGGGGTGAGGATGGCGGCCAGAGGGTTCCGCCTCCCCGGGGGGCTGCACGCCGAGCTGGGCCCTTCGCGGCCCCCTGCCCGCGCCCTCCCGCCCGCCCCGCCAATCACACCGCAGACCCCCGAGGCGCGTGACACGGCGCGCGGGCTCCCGGCGAGCCCGTTCGGTCCAGGCCGCACCGCCGCCGCGTGCCCGCTGCCCGGGGCCGGGAATGGCGGCGTCCGGCTGCCCGGGGCCAATTCCGTCCCTGCCCCCTCGCCCTCGACCCCGCCAGCCCTTCTAGCAGCGACGCGGGAGAAAAGGAAGTTACCTCAGGGCGGTCCCGGCGGCGGTCAGTCGTGGGAGGCCGAGCGGGTCCAGCGCGGTGGCGGCGGCTACCGCAGTGCCCTCCGCCCCATTGTTTCCCTTCCAGGAGGCTCCCAGCAAAGCCGAGCCCGGGAACCAGGAAGTTCCCTGGCGCGACACCTCCTGCCGCCGCCGCTATGGAAACGGCCCCCGCCTTCCCCAGGGCGGCTCGCCCGGGACCCCGCCTCCACGCCGCCGGCCCCGCCCGCCTCACCGGCCGCCAACAGTCGCCGCCGCGGCCGCGGCAGGCGCCGCCATCTTGGCGCGGCCAAGCTGCCCCTTCCTTCCCGGCGGCACGTGCGCTGCTCCCACGCTCCCGCCGGGCGCGCTCCCGCCGCCGGGCTTCACGCCGAGGCCGAGCCCCCAGCCCCTTTGTAGGATGCGGGTTCTGCGGACCGGGCAGCGCGCCGGGATTGCTGCAGAGCTACCGATGGCAGTGGACCAGTGCGGTGTCGGACACCTGGGAGCGGCCCACCGAGCAGGAGCACCTTTTGCATCTGGAGCCCAACTGCTTCCCAGCCTTGAGACCTTGCCCACTGCACTTGGTTTCCTCTTGGACTCAGTGTCTTCATCCGTGAAGTGGGATGGTCATCGTACCTGCTTCTTGGAGTTGGTCCCTGCATAAGCGAATGCTTGGTAGTTTGTGCATAATAATAATCTGTCAATAGAGCTGTTACTGACACAAGGTCACGCCGTCAGTTTTCACGCATTTCTGCCAAGTGTTCCGAGCAGCACAACTAAGTAGGCTACCGTGTGCAAACCTTTGCTACTTAAAACGTGTTCAGTGTTCATTTCTGTCCCATCTTTCTCTAGGTCAGCTCTTTTTTGTGTCGTGGGAATTTTCGAGAGCTTTCCTCCCCACGGTCTTCCATTAAAAGCCGCTGTGAAAAGGGAATGATATAAACTTCCCAACACTATAATTTGCTGACAGTCAAATAATTTATTCAATGGGAGCTACAAAAGTTTGGGTGCGCGAATAACTAAAAAGGCTTCTGTGCTCGTTTCCAGGAACTGGAGTTACTAAAGCTGGCAACTCTGCAGTCGCTACTCCCTCTTTCCCTAGCTGGTGAAACCTGACACTCACGACTGCATGCTGAGTGTGTGCCTTTAGGGACCGACTGGATGGAAGGGGAGGCTCAGTGGCTGTCCCTTCCTCAGCAGGCATTCTTAACACCTGTGAATAGATTGGGTCTTGGATGGCCTCTAAGGCCCTTCTGTCTCTCAAATGCTGTCATATTAACCCCTTTACAAGTGTTGGGGAGACGGAGGCTGCGAGTGGAACCCAGGGCCTTTTGCACGTGCACACACACACACACACACACACACACACACATTTCCGTTGAGCTACATTCCCAGTTTAAAGACAATAAGATTAATAAAAATGTATTCTTTCATTCTGGTCTTCATGTAAACCAGGTTTGCAAGTACTACTTTGGTTGTTTTTGTTGTTTATTCTGGTATGTACAAAATGGCACAACTGGTTTGATGAAAATCCAGTCAAAACTTGGAAGGACGTAGGAAAATTTTCAACACCCAATATTTCTCCAACAGGCATAGAATTTCCAAATTAGTAAATCACTAAAACACCCTCCATTCGTGTCAAGACCCACCACTTCCGTGTCTTTGGCCCGACACTTCCACACATTGTACCCTGCAGATTGCAGAAGTCCTCCAAACGATGTTGACTAAATTAAATTGCAATGTCTGAACTATCATCTCTTTAAGATATCTTGGGAACCCCACAGAGGCACAAGAGAACTCATTCAGAAATATCACTGCAAATACAAAAAACACTAATGCATTGGAGAAACACCCCTGGTCATAAGTTTACTTCACAAACTGAAGTAGAAATTTCACTACTAGTATATTAGTCTAATAATATTCTATTCTGAACTTAATTGTCAGCACTATTGGCCCAACTTCAGACTTAGCACTCTAAGAATATGTATTCACTAATGAGGATGGCTGCATTTTTTTTCTGAAAAGTTATATAAATAGGGGCCCTTGAGCCTTGGGATAGTAGTTTTCCAACCTCTGCCCTAAAAACATATATTTATATTCTATTCACTCCATGGTCATATTCTCTAACATGCTAGATACCAAGATGCCCTTCAACTAGGGGTGGGAGGGGGGAATAAAAGTTTACTGTCAAAAAAAAAAAATACCCCAAAAAAGTAAAACTGAGAAACAGTTTGCATCTCCAATGATAATATTTCACAAATGCCAAACATTCAGAACTCTCTCTCCTATCACATAATGGGAGAAAAGATTGACATTTGTGTTTTATTTTTGCAAGTTACATTATAATAATGACAATACATTATACTAATGACAATACTCACAATACTGCCAAGAGTAAAAGTACATGTTTAAATTTCCCACAGGCTACTATAACAACTAGGGTCAAGAGTACAATTTGTGGTGAGAACTTGAAAATATAGATCATGGGGAAATTTTCAGAAAAATTATCCAGTCTTTACTTTCATCTTCTAAACTCCGGGTGAAGGGCCGTCCCTAATGTCTCCTGCAAACTGTGACTCCATGGCTCTGTGGTCCACTTAGCTTTGGGGATGAGAGTAAACAGCTAGCCAAGCGGGAGGTGGGTGAAGACTCTGCAAAACCGAGCATGATTCAGCTCACCACCTGCAGTCGTTTCTGAAATTCCCTAGGAATGTTCTGACTAGAAAAGTCAGTTCTAATACCACTGTATGTACTCACCGTGGTGAAAATAGAGACGAGAGCAGACCGTCAACACCCATGGACCAAATGTCAATGGAAAAGCCACATACACGGGGCTTTTTCCCCTTTAAAAACATAAATCCTTAAGTTTAAAAGAGAACATATTGATGGCCAAGCCGAAAGGAAGATTCCATGGATGGATTATGAATAACAGAATTGCACATAAGATGTTGCATACAGTTTGTTACAACGATCTGGGGACGGTCTTACTTATTTGGTGTTCTAAGAGACGTGGGAGGTCTCCCTATCTTAAGAACACACATGTCATGAGATTGGGGAACTTGTCTGTCTTCTGTCTATTCTGTTCTTTGGTCTGTCTTGTTCTCTGGCCAGAGTCAGCTCCCTCTGAATAAATCTAGAAAGAGTGAAGAGAGAAGAAACGGGGAGTAACGGGGGGGATGTTAGAAAGAGAGGACACAAAGGTGTCTCAATACCCAAAGTTTTTTATGTCTAAAGAAAGTTTCTAATTTTTTCAAACATGCTGAAACAGATCTGTGACTCAAAAAAAAAGCTTACGAATGACTCGTTTTCAGTTACTGAAGTTGCCTCTCGCTATCTCCTTTGCTCCGTGCTTACGGCCATTCTGCTCCTGATTACACAGTAAAACAGTTATCATGGTCTGCCAGAAATCTGTAATGAGTCTGGATCATGCTTCAGATGTATCATTATGTCTTCTTAGCTCTGAAGACTCTGTCTGCTGAGTTTCCATAGGCCATACTTCAGCTTCCCTTCCGTCACCATTGTTATTATTTTTATTATTATTATTTGGTTTTGGTTTCCCCGTGAAGCTCTGACTGGCCTGGACTTCACTCTGTAGGCCAAGCTGGTCTTGAACTCGCAGAGATCTGCCTGTCTCTGCTGTCCAAAGCACTGGGACGTAAGGTGTGCACTACCACACCTGACTTGTGATGCCATTAATTTTATTATTCATTATGGCAAAAGTGTGGCATTCAGAGGACAACTTTCAGGAATCAGTTGTCTTCCTCTATCATGTAGGTCCCAGGGATTGAACCCAGGTCATCAGAATTGACAGCAAGTGCTTCAACCTATGGAACCATCTAACCAGCCCCCATTATTTTTTTTAAGTTTCATTAAATGAATGAAATTTAAATATTAAAATGCACACATTTATAAGATACTGAAAATTAAAATATAATTTCATGGCATTTTGTCTCCATTTTAGGGTAATAAAACATTGGCCTTCGTGTGCATAATTTTTTTTTCTGGTTTTTTCGAGACAGGGTTTCTCTGTGGTTTTTTGGAGCCTGTCCTGGAACTAGCTCTTGTAGACCAGGCTGGTCTCGAACTCACAGAGATCCGCCTGCCTCTGCCTCCCAAGTGCTGGGATTAAAGGCGTGCGCCACCACTGCCCGGCTGGTGTGCATAATTTTTAAATTAACTTTTAAACTCTGTGTATGTTGTATGGAAGTTTTCCCAGGAAACCTCCCAATGAACCGTGCCTACCAATATTCGCATACTGTTAGTGACACTCCTTTTATATCTGCCATGGCCCTGTGACTGACTTCTGTCCCCCAAAAAGAGTTTGTTGGAAATGAGGCAGAGCGATTTCTAAGGTGAGAACACAAAAGCCTCAAGGTTTCTACCTGGGTCTGTGAGATTCTTTGTGCACTTCCTCTCGGAATTTAAATACTGCCAGGTAAGAAACACAGGCAGCTTGCACAGGGCATACTAGATAGCCAGCCTCATCCGAGGCCACTGCCAACAGTAGCCAACCTCAACTGCCACATGGGAGAGGCACCTGGCCGTTGAATGCCTGGAGTTCCAACTGAACAACACCCTGAGAAACCCTGAATGGTGACCTTTCTGGTGAGCCCAGGCAGCCCAGAGAACCATAGACAGTAAGAAATTGCTGTCTTTAGCAATGGAGTTTAGTGTCATTTGTCTCAAACCTGCAGGAAAAGCACAATAAATATATTAAGAATGAACGGCTCAGTCAGCAAAGTGTTTGCTACACAAGTGAGAAAACCCAGGTTCAATCCCCAGACCCTATGTGAAAGAGTCAGGCATGGTGGCATACTCTTACGGTCCCGGTGCTGGAGAGGTGGAGACCGGCAGATTCCTGGGCTTTCTGCTCAGCCAGCTTAGCCCAATCAGGGAGCTCCAGGACAATGTGAGACCCTGTCTCCAATAAAGCAAGGTGAGCGGCTCCTGAGGAGTAACATCCAAGATTAACTTCTGGCCTCCACACACTCACACTGTGCAGGAGTCCACACACACACACGCACCCATAAGCACACTCACACACTGTGCCTGAGTCCCCCTACACACATGCACCCATAAACACACACACACTGTGCCTGAGTCCCCCTACACACATGCACCCATAAACACACAAACTGTGCATGAGTCCCTCATACATATACATGCACCCATAAACACACACACA